CAAGGAAACGTAATTGTGCATCATACTAACAGCTGAATGTTGCTTAAGCCCTGCAACACTCACTGGAGAGAGCAGGCTTGAGCTTCTTTTTCTTTGTTTTTAAATGTGTTAATTTCCAATAAATTGTTTCCACAGAAATTCCTTTCCACTATCTTGGAAAGAATATAATCCAACCAAACAAAAAAAGTCACATAACTATCATAGCGTTTTATAACTTACATTTTAATGCACATCACTGGAGCTGCTGACTGGTAGCAGTCTAATGGTACAGAACCAAATCAGAAAGCAAACAGCTTATAGTGCAGTTTTTCACTTTGCTATGAAGTATAGCACTGCCAATGGATGTCAAAGATGGGTCCCAAGAAGTGGAGGTGAGAGAGGTAATTACATATAGCTTACTCCCACCCCAAGCCTGCAGATTTTTGTGGCATATGAGGCAATGGTTCTGAGCTAAAGTCAGAAACAGTCCTAATGCAGGGGATGAGAACATAGTTAAATGTATAGTTAAATGCAGTGAAGTACCATTATTTAAAAGATACAAATTATTGTTGTAAATAGAAAAGTGGGCAGAGTGATGTTTTTCCTTATCTCTTTTTTAATCCTTAACAATTTACTCTCTTCTTTTAAGGAAATTCTTTGTCACTTCAAATGTTAAATCAATGTCACAGGTGCATGGTTCTTTGTTTTCCCTGTAAGAGTGCATATTGCTTTACAAGCAGATGCTATATTTTAATAAAAAGGTATTTTGCACTGAATTTCAATATAATTGAAATGGACATACTATTACATGCTTTCAAGTGTAATAAAATAGATTCATTATAGTATGAGAAGGATTTCGAGTTTGAAAATATATTTTCTTCAGAATATTTAATAGAAAACAGCATATCATTCCCCTATATAAATTGATAGAAACGGGATGCAATCACAGTGAGAATGTGCACCCATTAACTGGACCTGGAAAGGAAGGATTGTGATGAATATGTTTGTGATTTTCACATCTCACAGATAAATTCTATCAACGAGAAATGAAAGTCATTTATAGCCTTAAAAAGAAAAAAAAAAGAATACAGGTTTCTGCGAACTGTATGGTAGGTCCTTGCATTCAAGGACTTCTCTGCCTAGCAATACCTCATAAATTGGAGTAATAAATACTCCATTTGCTTACAACTAAATCTGATACAAAAAACCACTAGAGATTAAGATGTGGCAAAAGTAAGTGAACCAGGATAGACACTGAATAAAGGGATTGGTGTTTTTATCACAAAAAAACCATAGATGGATCTTAAGGAAGGCTGAGTTCTGTTCCTGATTTGTCTGCAGAGGGTTGGTGTATTCTTGATCAAATCATATAGAGACACTTCTAACTGAAGATGTGTACTTATTTAGCTGTCTCTGTGACACATCTAAAAGGTAATGTGGGATCCTGTAACTCAAGCCAATCAAACTTAGACAACCATACGTTTTTAAAGGTAGGCTTTAGTGTGGTTACAGAGAGAAGATGTAAAGCTCTCGCTTACTAGATTATTTGTAAATCACTTTAAATCACTTTATTGACAGTTACCAATTAGTTCTTGAACTACTTTAATTTTGCGTAGTCTTCTGTTCTCCAAAGTAGTTTATGAAAGATACCATGTCCTCTCCAGTCATGATATAAAATTGAAACCGTGGAAGTCATTTGCAAGAGGTTTTGTGGATGCCAGACATTTTCATGGATTCAGATGGCAACTAAATGCATCACAGAAGACAAATCCAGGAGCTATCAAGGAGAAAGATTATAGCCTCGATTCAGAATTCCCTGCACACTGCTACAACCTCTGTTTACATTAATACGAATTATTACATGCATCTATTCTTCCTCTGCTAGCCACTGTTAGGAAAAGGGTAGATGGAACATGACTTCAACCTAATATGCTCATTTTTATTGTTTTAAGTACTGAATGACTTCCCATCACACCAAAGTAACTAACTGCATATATTCTTTGAATGACAGTGAGAAAGGAATCAGATTAAGAATACAGTAACTAAGTCAGTGGTGTTCTCAGACTTGTTTCTGTTTTTACCCAAACCAGTAAAGACTGTGACTTGCTACTTCCAACTGGCATACCTTTCAAAGAAACTGTGATAAGCTAATGGTCATATCAGTCTCATCATATAGCATACAGTGCAAGAAATGGGCAAAATCTTCCATAAAAAATACAGCTATTGTAGACTGCTGATTCCTTTTTATTCTGAAAGAAGACATGAAAATTATTGTTCTGATTGCTTACTCTTTTCTAGAAATAACTGCAACAGCCAACTTCAGTAGCATATTGTGCCAAATTGTAATTATCATGGGTGTGGTATAAAACCTAAGATGTGTAGACAGAGAAATAGACTTCTATTTTAGAAAGACCCAGGTATATAACTTACTGCAATTTCAAATGACAAATAAATCTGGGAGCTTTTAATGTTATACTAAAAATCCTCTCTCTGCACAATTTTTCCTTTCCTCAAGGTAGTTTCCCCCCTTCTATTTCAACCCCCAAACTTCTATGACTCACTTAATGTTTTCACAAATATTCCACACTTACAACCAGCATAGCAAGGACTGAAGAAGTGGTTGTCCACGGCTTTATCCAATACCAAAAGTTATTTCAATGAAAATAGAGTACAAAATTCATTCCCACACTTCACAACTAGGTCTTTCAGAGATTGCAGCTTTTGAACAAAAGTATTATAAAACACAGAAGGAACCCCTTGAGTTTTGATATTTGAGGAAATTGTCTCTCATATAAGAGAAATTCTCATCTGAACCAAAGGATCGAAATTGTCCCTTACATTTTTCTGTAAGTTTATAACTGTTTATAACATTCTGTTTAAATAACACATAGAAGTCAAATGCATAGAAAATTCGCTGCAAGTTGCTGAATCCCATAGCCTGGCAGAGGAGAGTCCCGTAGTCCTAGATCCACTCAGCAGTCAGACTGAGCTAAGTACCTATCCTAGATAGGTATAAACTTACATATGTACACTTCCACAATACATATATGCATACTTACATAATTGGCCATAAAAATTACCACAAACAGAAACATTCACACAGATATAGGTAGCACAGGCAGCTTTGCTGTTTCCATCTCTCGCAGGATGGTCTTTTAGTGGGCAATTTATACACATAGTATGGATCCCCTCAGCAGCTGGCTTTAGTTACACAGCCTACACAGTAGCTGACCACAGTAGCAGACCCCTGGATCCTCTTGTTTCCCAGTTTCCTCATGCACAAAAACACGAGACACAAATGAGTCTGATCTCTGCACCTCACAGTTTCCCCAGTTGCTGGCTTGGATCACCTGTGTCCTCTCAGACCACACTGGTCTCTACAGTTGCTCCAATACTTCGCTCCTAACCTTCTGCCATACTCACCAGCTAGTCCAGATGGACTTTAGCCAGTGAGCACATGCCAACACGTACCATTCTAGCCTCTCTAGTTGCTGACACCCAAGAAATGTGGTCCCTATGATATATGGTCCCCAGTTCCGTCTGCTGATGTTCAGGTCTCCATGCACACACATGCATGCCAAAAATAAGAGCCTTAGTCAGAAAAATAGTTGGAAATAGAATCTGATGGGAGTACAGGACAGCCTGAGGTGATCAGACATGTTGACCAGCAGGCTGATAAGAAGTACCTGGCCCTTTATCTCTTTATCTCTCTTTTTTTCCATTGTTACTTCACAAGTCATCCAGATCCCTTCCTTTCCCTGCCTTTGGTTTCTCCTCTAATTGTCTCATAACAGATTTGTAAAATATCAAAATACTCCTCCCTTCACCCCACAGCCAACTGCTTGCCTTTATAGGCAGTATCCACTCTCAGTCTGTAAGGAGGCCTGGAGACCCTCACCTGTTGACTGATGGTGATGGGTCTCAGTCACAGCCCAAGGGGCTGACACACTCCTGAGATGCCCTGAGAGGGACTGAGTTGGAGGAACTCATCCTTCTGCTTGCTGTTGTGCCTCTGGGCTTCTTCAACTGTGTGGAGATGACCCTTTAATCACAAAACCCGTCACAGTACAAATCCGTCTGAAATTGCTTTTGTCTGTTTGTTTTGCAGCTATGTCATGACAATGCCATGTTGCAGGTCTGCTTGTGTAGGGACAAAAGCACATTTGCAAACCCTGTAAGATCATATTTCAATCAGCTATTGCTTTTTGGGTAATCTCTATTCAGAGAGGAATCAGAAGTAAAATTTGTCTGTTTACCTATTCATGGCATCTCCCTTGCACCTAAATTTTATAATTCCTGTTCTAAATTAAATGGGGACCTTCACTATGTGGAATGAAGTCAGACCCTTTGAGAGTCTCAAAACAGAGATCACCTCTTCTGACCAAATAAGTTGCTTAATCTTCTTTAGGTATAACTGTTAGATGAAACTGAAGGAAGAATGGAGAATATAGTCACCTAGGGCATGTCAAAAGTAAGATTGCCTCTTCTTACATAAAAGTAGTTGTAGAGAAATGAAAACAATCTATAGCATCTTGAGGAAGTGACCTAAGCCAGGCCAGACTAATTACAGACTGAAATGGCTGATATCTCTCCACTGATAAAAGCAATCCAGGGTGATAAACTCAGATGTAAACACTGTAGGCACCAATATTTAATCTGATGAATCTCACCTTAAACTCATTAGTTAGCTGTGTAATAGAAGAGAATGGGATGCTGCTATAAAAAAGTTTGAAGTCACCTGCCTTTCAGCATGTGTAATAGATATATATATATATTAACATGAGAACTGATGAACTAGAAACTGAAATTTCTGTACTAATAAAGTGTCTAAATAAGGTAAAATGCATCTCTTTCAATATTTTCTGTATGACAGAAAGGACCAGTAAGCTTAACAGGTGTTTAATGCAAATATGTTTGCATTACTTTTAGAACAGCATGAGCTTAAGCCAGAAAACTCCAGTCCAGAATTTTCAAGGGGGAAAAGTTTTAATTTTTTAAAAGTTTCTATTTTTTTCTTCCAGATTTTAGAGGATTTATTAATTAGAATCTATGAAGACAAGATTAGAAAAAAACCCCCAAATTAAACATTATCATGTTACAGGTAAAGAAACCAGGGTTTTGTTTGTTTGCTTTTTCTGTTTGTTTTGTTCTGTTTCATTTTTCCAGGAACAATATTCCTAGCCACTAGACTACTAATTCTTGTCTTGTTTCTGTCACATGACAAGTCAGGACAAGTTAGTCACATTTACCTGATAAAGGCAAATCTTGGAGGAGCTAGGCAATATATGACTTAAGCAATGGTGAAAATTTTGGCTTTCTGCTCATAAATTCATGTTCAGTGTTTCTTCAGGTGCCTCCTTGATTTGATATGGCCATTTAACTGCAGCTTACTTAAAGGCAATTTATTTTTTGTATTACATTAGCAGTGATTCATACACTACTTTGGTTTTTTTCCTTTTTTCTGTCCTTGGTATGCCTTACAAATTTTGCTCCGTATTACAGTTCTTGTCATGGTTCCTGGAAGACTGATTTGGCAGCTGCCAAGATGCAGTCAGAGGTGAGCTCCATGATAGGGAAGTACTTAAGCACAGGTGACAGGCTGCATGGCAGCAGCAGCATGACATTTTATCTGGAGATACAGACAATGCGGGCAGTAGCACATTGCATTTGATACACACAGGAGACAGCTGTGGTAAGTGTGGCAGTGTACAAGTAAGTGCTTTGAAAGATTATGACAGGCAAAATCTGACTTTTATTAAGAAATGGGGGAGAAAAAACCAAACAAATAGATTCTATACCTTGAGATCAATTTCATCCTACATTAAAAAAGTTATATGTATACTGTATATGCGCTGCATTAGAAAATAGTTTCCACACAGTCCCAGACTTTGAAAAGGCTTGAGCCTCCCTGCCTAATGTGCATTAAATATGACCTTGTTCCATAAGTGGTTCCACCAGTTACATGACATGAGTAAAAGTGGCATTGGTAGTTTCCTATTTGACAAACACAAACCCAGGTATGAAACACTCATTTTGGTTTAAGTTTCCCTTAAGACATATTTAATTTCTGTGTTGTTCATAATTCTCAGCAGCAAAAATACCAATAAATGGAATACTGAACTTCTGGAAAGTTAGAAGTCATGTGTTCAAGAATGAGTACTAATATCTCTCATTCATTCATCATTGAATTTTATTTTAAAAGACCTTGAAAGAAAGAAAATAAAGGGTAAAATGGTTAAGTGAGACCCACCACTGGCTAACCATCTTTTTATTTTTTTTGATCCTTTTACAGATCAACTCCGATGTTGTCAGTGCAGAAGAGCCAGCAGTGGAGGTGGCTTTCTGTAACACCAGTATCCCCCACAGCTGGAGTCTGGACAAAAACATTTCCGTCATTCTGGAACACATATGGAGAGAGATCAAAGAGATATATGTGCTACTAGGCTTTTTTTTTTTCTTCACAGTTACCTGGATTCATGACATTTATTCTAAGCACAGCTGTTACTGTCTTTCAGCTGTAAAAAAAAAAAAAAATACAGAGGAAAAAAATCCTTTTGGCATATTTTTCTCCTGTATCTCTGCTGTATAAGGTTTGTATTTGATTATATACTGGGTAAGATCCTTAATATACTTAAATCAATATAGGTTAAATTGAAATAAGTAGAAAGAAGTAGAATTAAAATAAGTAGAATTATGCCACTTAAATATTTTACAATTTTTAAAATTTGGACCTTGTGACATAGCCAGAAACTTTTTTCTTTGGTACCAATTACCAGTAAGTAAAAAGAAATCTGACACAGGATAAGGAGATGATATTTATCTGCATAACAAGCCTTTATGCTATGTTTCTTGTTAAGAGCTTGCATTGAGGTTTCATTATTTTCATCCCTGAAGTTAGTAGGCAGTAAGCTCCAATTCTTTGTTTTCCTGCCCAGTCACACATTCCTTCAGGAGAAGGACATCTCCAGAGCCCTCCTACCCTAGTCAGGAGCATGGTACCTCCCCTGGTCTGTGTTTTACAGGTATGGAGCAGTGATGTACAGTGTAGCCAATCATGTAAAAAAAGTGAAACAAAGAATTAGCCGAGGGAAGGGAGCTGGGAGATGAAGAGCAACTTTGTTGGTTCCCAGGAAACTGCAACCTGTAAATTCTTGCAGCCGTGAATGGTAGACACATCATCAGGTCCTAAGTAGAGAAGAAAGGAGGTAATGAGACAGCAGTTTTCTGTAGGATACAACCTTAGGTAATTGTTTTTGCCTATCTCCTCCGGCTCTCAAAAGAAATTCCACTGTGTTAACCGCAGAGTTAACCCCAGCAGAGAGAGTGAATTACAGAAATATGCCTAAGGCATGGGATGTGAAAGAGACCAGTTTCTTTAACTGCTCCAGACAACTAATAGTCTCCCCATTCTCAGGAATTCTACACTGTTAATAACACCAGATTATTCTTTGGCAAGGAAAAGGTGTTTGTGTTTTATTGCCTCAAGGTTGCTTTTTTTCCTGCAATTTAATGGAATTAGGAAGAGAGAAAATATTTACTTGCAGGATAAATGGAAAAAGGAGAGTACAAGTGAAAATGGAAAGCAAGAAAATGAGAAGAGCAAACTTTAAAACTTTAACAGGAAAAAACCTCTGAAACCAGCACAGCTATGATAGTGAAATGAACTAAAGAATATATATAAAAAAAATGAGCATTCTAATTAAGAAAAAAAGGCAGGCAGAAGGTAAAGTCATAAGTAATTCAACTCCTAAAACTCGTAGAAGACTGTTGAGAGGCACCAAAGAAAAAAGAACAGAACCTTGGACATATTGAATTAGAAGAAATGCAAGTATCAATATACCAGGAAAAAAATAATCCTTTAGTATTTCTTTTGAAGTGAAAAAATCAGTCTTTTCAAAAATAATGCAAAAAGAACAGTTTAATAAATATTACTTTTCAGTCTTGTAATAATATACACAATATTTTAAATTTCAGCAGAAACTCAGGAAAATTTTTAGTAGCAGCTTATAAAGTTAGATATTTCAAAGAAGTAGGATTAATAACTTTAATCTAAAACTATGAAAAGAGCTGCGCATGTGCTTTTATGGGTCAATAATATTGATTTTCAATAAGTCTTGGACATGAGATAAGTTCCACAGAAGTGGAAGGAAACAAGTGTTTTCTCGATATTTTAAAATCTGTAAACAGAATGACCACATGACATATATATATATATATATATATTACACAAAAATGTGAAAGTGATAATGTAGGATGACTTCATTAGCCTTCTCTAATTTTTTTTTTAATGTAAATCAGCATGGGGTTATAGAAAACAGATTGCATAAGCTAGATTTTTATTATTATTATTTTTTTAACCATAACCTCTAATAATAGTAATTTTCCAGAGTACTTTAAATTTAAAGGCTTATGGTTATTTTTAGGAGAATAGAATAAAAAAATACAGCAAAAAAAGCAAAAAAACCTCCCAAACTAAAACATGACATATTACTTCGATCAGACTCAATGTTTAAGAGAATACTTTTAGTAATGGTGTCCTACAGGCAATTAGTTCCTATTCTACATACACTGGAATATTTTTATTAATTATTAACACCAAATAGATATTTGGAGAAAGAAAATAAAATTATGAGACATCAAACCCAAGCAGAAGTAATCCAACTCTTAGTATCTCTGACTATGAATTCATCATCATCATGGCTAGGCTTCACGAACGAAGATTTGAGAAAGGCTCTATCCACATTTGTTACAAGCATGCTGGTGGCTTATAATGCCGATACGAGATAGGCACGTCCGATTACAAAAGGCACAGCAAAAAGACTCCTTAGGTGGTACATTCTGCAAGACACGGTTCTTTCTGCACTGTCTTTTCTCCTCAAGAGTGATCCTGTGTGCTTCCTCAAAAGCATCAGCAGCATTATAGATGGTGTGTCTCCAGGTCTCCCGATTGGAGACCAGAGTAGATCAGTTATGTTGATCAATATGGCCAAGGTTGAGATGTTGTTTCAGGGAGTCCTTGTATCTTTTCTTTGGGGCTCCTCTCTTGCGGCAGCCGGTGGCAAGTTCACCATAAAGCAAGATCTTAGGGACGCGGTGGTCCTTCATCCTTGAGATGTGCCCTGCCCAACGCAGCTGTGTTCTCAGCAACATGGCCTCAATACTTGTGATTGCTGCTTGTTCTAGAACAGATGCATTGGTCACATAATCTGACCAGTGAATATTAAGGATTGTACGGAGGTAGTGTTGACGGAAGCGTTCTAGGAGACGCAGGTGGTGGCGGTAGATGACCCATGATTCAGATACATATAAAAGAGTAGACAGCACAGTGGCTCTGTAAACACTGATCTTTGTACTTTTCTTCAAGTGTTTATTACATCATACTCTTTTATGGAGTTTTCTGAAAGCACTATATGCCTTTGCCAACCTGTTGTCTATCTCCCCATCAATCTTACCATCCAAGGAGATGAGGCTGCCTAGGTAATTAAACTGCTGGACTGATTTGAGCTCTGATTCGCCAATGGTGATACGGGGATGATGGAAGACTTCCTGAGGTGCAGGTTGATAGAGAACTTCTGTCTTCTTTAAGCTGACTTCCAGCCCAAAGAGCTCAGCAGCGTCTGCAAAGCAGGATGTTAAACGCTGCAGGGCTGCTTCTGTGTGGGTGACAAGGGCGATGTCATCTGCATAAAGCAGCTCCCGGACAAGATGGTTTAAGGTCTCTGTGTGGGCTTTCAGTCACCTTAGGTTGAATAGGCTTCCATCAGTACAGTATTGAATGTAGATACCATCTTGATCATCATAGGTATTAAAAATATCAAGTTCATTTCACCATTACAAAAATAACCTTTCTAGTTTAATAGATTTTCATAGATTTATATCTGAGTCTGGCAAAGTCAAGAGGGATATATATAACTTAAGACATATATTATTAACTCTTGACTAATGGTTAATAATTTACTGTTTATGATGAAAAATATAAATAGCAATAAATACTACTGTAACAATCTTGGAGAAGACAAAATGAAGGCCTAGGCTTTCATGGCTATTTAGTATTTTTATGATGCATTTTATTATTATTTAAATTCTAGGCATACTTACAATTCATATGTAGGAATGGGACAACATTACTTCAGGAATTTCAAAAATATTCAGGACACAAAAAAAATTTACCTGATTTAAATGACTTAAAAATTTACATGGTTAGTCTAAGCGTTTTGTGTAGGGTCCTTCTTCAGTCAATTTGGATTAAGCACCCTTTTCTGAGACTTGTGAGGTCTTAAAGACAGATTGCCTAATCTGTGAGTATGTGTTAAAGATGTCTGTGGGTAGGGAGAAGAGACATAAAAAAACCAGGTGACCTAGCACAGGGCAAAAAATATGACTGACAGGGAAGTATCTTAAATTTTTATGTGCTCTAGAGAAGGTAAGGTGCAAATTGCAGCTTTCATCTTTGCCACTGCACTGTTGTGCTGTGTGCTGTATTTCAGTAATTGTTCCATTTCCAAACCATTACTTATACTAAGTAGAAGGTAGGTCTTACGCTGGATATCATGAATATGATGGTGAATATCTCACAGCTTATAGAGAAAAATGCAGCGGTTCTTTAGACATAAGTGCACCATCTCATTTTTCTACTGAATTTAGGACCACAAGAAAGATGACACTGCTGACATATTTATTCATCTCTTAATCATTTGTAGGACAGCATTTTATGACAACAACCCTGAGCTGATAAGGGCAATACAAATACAAAATAAAAATGTAATTCCTCAGTTCTGCAGCTTTTCACAGTCCACGTATTCAGAGAAACTGATTGCCTTCCAAAACTAGTCCTTTCCAAATAACAACCACATGCCTTTGTAATTCTGTTGAAAGCTCTTCGTCTACTTTGTCAAATTCATTTTAAATTCTCTTTTAAAGACTGGAACTTTGATGGGTTTGGTCTAAAACTTTTGACTCATTGAAAATGATCTTTATTTAAGGGGCAGTTCTGACATATAAAAGGTCTCTTAACTCAGATTTTTAACTTGAATGAAGTACAGCAAGCTAGACAGGCTCCAAAATAGCTATCACCTAAAATATGGGACACCTATGATCACAGTACAGACAGACACTGAACTTGAATTTAAGGTTTGGTCTTGCTAGCAGATTGTTTGACCATGAAAAGAATTGTGGTTTTTCATAGATTGTCAGACAATAAGTTCCACGTTATTTAAATAATTGCACTCAAGGTACTTGAGTGTAAGAGGTCCTCATTCTGTATTTCATTTGTTTAGGTCCTCAGATGGGCAGAAGAAAAGAGTTCAATAGGAATTTATGAATATTCTTAAAATATTAATAGAAAAATTTTTCCCCATTTGTTTTCCTGACACATCATCTAATAGCTGAAGCATAATTTTGTCTTTGTTTAGGCCACACACCTACTTTTAGAAACCTTGTTTTTACCCTCATTCATTTCAATCCCTCTTTCATTTTTTGGCTAAGCATTGCACACATTTTTTCAGATGAAATCCTACAATACTTTATATAATATCAATATATATGTTGTTTCT